TGTTTGCGGGGAGATAACCTGGATATTCCCGTGAGACCGAGATTCCGTAGACAACGTGCGAATTGGGAACGCCAGAAGCTAGGTGCGATATCTAATAATGATAATAATAATTCTAAAGAAAGTAATATTGAGAATTATAGACCAATCGCTTTACCAAGCATTTTTTCTAAACTGATAGAGGAAGTAATGGCCAATAGAATCACAAATTTTCTCAACACATATCAGGTTTTATGTGAGAACCAGCATGGATTCCGTAGTGGTTTATCAAGTGAAACAAGGCACGATTGAATTTGTTCAATATGTGAACAACAAAATGGACTCTGGCGAATTTGTGATCTCAATTTTCTTCCATATTTCTTTCATATCTTATAAATTGAATAACCTTGGTGTCCGCAGCCCAATCAATGAGTGGATCGTGTCCTTCCTCGAACGAAGAAAGTTCATTGTTGATATTGATGACGTCATCTCGGAGGAATTTGAAACAGATATTGGTACACCCCAGGGAAGCGTACTCAGTCTTCTAATTTTCCTCATTTTCATTAACGACCTTCCCATTTACATATCTCAAGGAAGGGTGCTTATGTATGCAGATGCATTACTGTGTCAGATACTTCATCTGTAAGACTATCTGAGAAGGTCAATCCCAAGAGAGTTCAAGGACTGGTGCTTTAAAAATGAACTTATGCTTGATCATAACAAGACGGAATATATAGAGTTTTGTAGCAAATATAGAACACCTCCGCATTTACCGCTCTCATTTGAAATAGTGTCAATTGAGCCATCCATAATGGTGAAGTTCTTGGAAACATAATTCGACTGCAGCCTATCATGGAAATCGCATGTCGATGTAGTTTGTGGCAAGCAGAACAAATTTTTTTATGTGGTCACCACACTCCAAAATATGCTGGAACGAGATTGTCTGCTTGAAGTTCATTATGCACTGGGGCACTCCGCTATTTCATATAGTATTGTTGTCTGGGGTCAAGCGTCCGAACAACATTCGGACATGAAATTTTATTTTCTCTCAGACATTCACATGTCTGAGAGAAAATAAAATTTCATTTAGACAAAATACGCACTTATTTAAAACAAGATGAAATATATGTTCAAAACAAGAGATTGGCGAATTTGAATCAACGTGGAGGATTTTTCAGTTCAAATTAATATACACTTGCATAGCTCGGCAAATGTAATAATGCATGTGTGAAAAATAACGAAGCATTGATATAATTTTCGCAAAATTGGGGCAAAATTAAGAGTTGCTGTCAAAGTTTACCACTTTCTCTTCGGTACTACGTATACTGATATAGTGGAGTTTCTTTCTCAAGTAACCCAATTATAATACTCAGCCCATGAAAATATCTTCCAACTGTGTAAGACCCCAGTCTTGTTAAATCTGTTCCATTATGGTAGATACAAAATAATCGGAAAAGAATTGCACTACCTACAGACACATAAAACACTTCCTCCTTAAAATCACAACACACCAACGTCACTTCCCAACACATACTGGCGCGTACGCGAACACTGTCCTACATTGTTAGTTTCTCATAATACTAAATTTTAATCATTTTCAATAATATCTGTGTTCAAATGAAACAGTTTTTCTTAAACTAAAATGAATGAAATACTTCTTTAAAAGAAATCCTGTCCATTCTATGCAAAATTCCTGTTATCTTCAGTCGATCATAATATAGTTTTGTATATAGATTCACAAAACTCTTGTTATAAACGAATTAAGTTATTTGAGAGGATTAAAGTTTTGAATTCAAACAATATATTTTCAGATCAAGTTGTATTGCTCCTCCATTTGGAACAGTTTATTTTTCTCTTCAAATATGTGGTAGATTTTGAAATTATATTACATTTTCTTGATTCAAAATAGTTCATCTTTGCAATAATATAATCAAACGAATGATGCCGTTGAGAGGCAGTTTTCTGTATTGCTTGTGTTATGTCTTTGAAAAAATGGCTTCATCTATGATTCTGATAAGCCTTTCGTTTGTTTCCTGCCGTTTTGTGTTGGTGTTGTCTTGGAAATTTGGTTGCTGCAATGATCTTTTTTTTCATATGTATCTGATATGTCTGATGGTTTTTCAAATAGTAATATTATCAACAATTCATTTATTTCATTTTGCCCCCTTCGATAATCATAGCCAGTCTTCAAGTATGCCCACTGACTATATGTGAGAACTTTTCTTTCCTTATACAGGGAATTGGGAAAATTTCGGATATGCGACTGATTACCTCGTTCACAGGCAGATGGGGTGATGACAAACCTGTTGTTTGTTGTCCACTTCAGCCTAGTTCGAGAAATGATACTCTGAAGGAAATTGATTCTCAATTACCGGAAATTATCGACTTCATGTTGATGATAGACACTGACGAGTGGCTTTGGCCACTCGTCAGTCTGAAACCGGTCTGCAAGTGTGTTCCAATAATTGAAAATCTATTTCAGCAGTTGTATAGCCAACAGCATATGTCGGAGGAACTTCAATGAAGAATCCTCCATTGATTTCCGTCGGATATAATCCAACGCCTTTTGTGATATTAGCCAGGGAAGTAATTGTTTTCTGATAGGTATCAGCCCATTAGCTTACAGTGTAGGAAGTTGGAACTGGTCTGAATGAATTGTTCCTTCAGTATGCCCACTGACTATATACTTTTCTAAAGTTAATTGAATAATTTGTTGTTGTATCTTTCTTATTTCAAAAATGACCCAGTGAAGAATGTTATTCAGAGATTTCATCAGATTTTTCATTTATTGAATGACGAAACAAAATGTTTGTGACTGAAAGTTAGTTCTTTGCATAATCTACACAGTTTTCCTTTTTTTGTATGAAGATGGTGGAGTAGAAAGGCAAAACCTTCCTTTCCCAAAAATTGATTTCTCCTTAGAATATAACCCGTTCAATTCGAACAAGATTTAACTCGTTCGATTAATGACTTATTTATTTTGTAGAAACCGGTCGTAACGAATAAATAAACACAGTAGAAACTAGACAAAAGTATTTTCTTTATTCTATATTGAACAAGATTCCTATGGCTGGGACTTAATCAAATGACCGAATGAATGTCATTTCGTACTGGTTTCAATGACATGAGTCGATTGAACTCATTCGTGACATAAAGTCGTAATGTTATGAATGTGTGTTAGGTAAGGAATCATACGTTAAGAGGTGAGACCTCGTTAATCCTTAGCTCGCACAAGTTTCGACTTCTCAGGGTTGTCGTTCGCAGGGGTGCGACAGCTGGTTGGCGGAAAACATATTTTGAACAGATTTTTTAAAATTGAGGGATTTTTCTTATAATATTATCCACATTTGCTACTGAAGAATTGCTAAGGCAAGTATCTAACGACGAAACATCGGATGTCCAGCAGTGAAGATGACAGTGTTGAATGTCAGTGAAAGTTCACCTCTTTCATTTACTATATTTTGTAGTAGTCCTGTGAATGATATTTGATTCAATTCCATAATCAACGTTTGGAATACAACCTATACGTATTTGTAGGGAGTTTATTTTGAAATGAATTGCATTTTTTTATTTTAAATAAATTTCTGTTTATTCCAATTCCAATAAGTGTAGTGTACATTTATTAAGTCAATTCAAACAATTTTATGGGATGACTCATTATAAATATTTATATGTCTTGCTTGTATTTATTAATTTATTTTGAAGACTTCAGTTCAACTGGAAGGGCACTGTATAATTTAGGTGCGAAATGGAAGAACGATCTTTGAGTAATTGTTTTTTTGAAAAGTTGTGAATAGATAGTTTGGTTAGATTTTGATCTGGTTATTCCACTGTTATGACTTTCAAAAGCGTTATTTTGAAAAAAACATCTTTTTAAGGCACTGATATTCGTAGAGCTAACAATATTTCATGACATTCACCTCTTTGTAATATGAAACAGTGAAATAAGTCCATTTTTTTTGAAGATCAATTTCAGTAACATATTTTGAGCAGTTTGAAGATTTTGAAGTGTAGATTTAACGTTCTACCCCAAGGAATCATCTCCTTAAATGTTTTACACTTATTCAGTTACACCCTGTATAACATCCTAAGCATTTTATTCGTAAGAATATCTCCCAAGCAACATAATTTATGAAATAATATTCGAATTATTTTTGTAATACATGTAACGTGATCATTCCATCTTAAATGTTTGTCTATAATAACACCTAAATATTTTATATTTTCTTTTTTTTTTAATATTTGTACATTTATGATTCATATTATTACATTGTATATTCTGTTATCTTTGAACGAGTTCTGAAGATTGATCAACAATAGTTGAAGAGAGTGTTAAGCATTTTGTTCTAGGTAGGTTTAGGCTCAGTTAATCATCATTCAACCACAGTCGCACCTTGTCCAAATCAGTTCCTGCAAAACTTTTGACTTCACTCCAATTTTTACCGGTGAAGATCAAAGCGGTATCGTCGGCATAACAAATAAGGTGTCCCTTGAGGTGTCTGATTTTTGACAAACTGTTTATATAAATAAGGAACAGTATTGGGCCTAATACTGTCTCTTGTGGTAATCCAGTCTCTGCAATAAGTTCATTGCTTAAAATTCGATCTATTTTGATTGATCCCTTTTTTGGATGATTCCCACTTTTTTGTATGAAGATAAGAAGAAAGCCAAAACGTTTATTTCCCAAAAATTATTCTGTTCAAAAATACATCTCCTTCAATTCAAAGGAATATTAATGATTTTTACAACAACTGTGATGAATTTCATATGGATTGGGTTGTTCACGAAGAGAAATCCAAATATTATGAAAAATAAAACAACTGTATGAAATATATATTGTATTTACAAAAATTCTCAAACATCCTAGTTTTTCCTAAGATTTATTATATACAAGACAGAGAAAAAACTTTACTCTAATTTCTACTAAGATATTAATTTGTTACGGCCGGTTTCAGTTTGTTAAACCATTGTAAAGTAAACTGGCATATTATGAAAAATAAAACAACTGTATGAAATATATATTGTATTTACAAAAATTCTCAAACATCCTAGTTTTTCCTAAGATTTATTATATACAAGATAGAAAAAAACTTTACTCTAATTTCTACTAAGATATTAATTTGTTACGGCCGGTTTCAGTTTGTTAAACCATTGTAAAGTAAACTGGCATATATAATAGATATTTTACAGAAATAATAATCCTGTGATTTATATATACAGTTTCACACACTTTTAGCTCGTTTCCATTTTGAAAATAACAATTATTTTCTTAAGTAGATGATGGTTCCTCTCAGTGGAATGAAGAACTACCCCTGATGATTGGCTGTTTTAGGATGTAAACTGAAAGAAATAATAATGTTAGTAAAGTACAGAATCTCTTTGATGATGTTCACATAAATTATGTTCCTCATTAGGAATGTATTAGAATAGGCAGCAATAGAAGTATAGTTTTGGATAGAACAGACTGATATGGATAAAATCCATATTGATTCCATCAGTTGCTCAATGAATTTAAGAATATCTTCCAACAATCTTACATTAAATGAAAATCTTGAGAATGATCGACATAATTGTTTATATGAATCCATCAGAAATTTTAATAGTCTGAATAAATAATTTCAAGCAAAATTCAAGAAACTTACAAATCGTATATCCGGATTCTGTCAAACATCTTACGACTGCACCAATATCATGCTCCAAGGTCTTCTTCGAACACCAACAGTTTGGTTTCTTCCTCTACGGTATCTCTTTTCCTTTTGAAATAGATTGACACGGTTTGTATGTTTGTTCTTTGTAGAACGTAGCCTTATTCATTATATCACAGGTAATTTATTTGGCATGTGTATGCAATGTTTTTCCTGGTGTCTCCTTCTCAGTGCTGAACAAAAATCAGCTCAGAATAACCCATCAATAAGACTATTGATACGAATTCTTTGTAGAATTCGATATTTCTAATATCACAGTCAGTCGTGGTGTACCACAAATCTCCACACAAATACTATGCAGAGAGGATCTTCTTGGCATATGTATGCTCGTTCTTCTAACTCTTCTGGAGTCTCTTTCACGCTGAAAAATTCAGCGAGGCTTGTAAGTCGCAGGAATCCTTTGTAGAATTCCTAGTTATATTCGTACCACTGATCAGCGCATATGTATGCACTCTGATCAAATGCTTCTTCTGCATATGTATGCAATGTTATGGTTTAGACGACATTCTCTGCTAGTCATAATCCGAACTGAGTTTTATACATGTCGGATATAATCTTGACTATCGGAATATTACCAATCGTCTTCCTGAAGAATAGCTCTTCGATGGTTTCCCCAGGTACTGTCCTCAAATTGGGAATCATCAGCATCATCTTGCCGAATCTGAGGGGCTCCTCTGGGTGGGTTGTGCTGATATATTTATTGAGAGTGAGTTGAGATTCATCCTGTACAGCTGATATTCTGGCAGGGTCCGACAGAACGTGTGTCGGGGAAGGAGAAGAAGAGTGTCCAATCTTATCGAAAGACGTCTTGAAGAGAACTATCGCTCGCAAGCAAGCGTATTCATGCGGATCCGCCTGGAACTGCCTGATACTGATAATCAACTCCTGGAAGTACTGGACATTCTGCATGAATGACTCAGGACGTTCTGATCGCTCCAAGGCCCCGGAATCTGGTATCAGCTGCGCTAAATAAGTAATCGGGAGGAATTGAGCTGCTCCGAGAATGAAGAGTTCCTTCCAGCTCTCTTCCAGAAGCACTAGTTGGTCAGCAAACGGAAGGGATGTCAACGAGGGCATGCTCTTCGTCCACTGGACGTTCATGAAGAGTAACCTGGCAGCTGCTTCGCAAACAAAGGACGGATGAGGGACTAGAGGGGGGTTGATTGATGGTATCGGTATTGGAAGCTGTAACAAAGTTCACTGTTAAAATCGTTCATAATATTTAGAGGGCATACATGAGCTTTGTTGGCATAGAAAAAGTTCGAGGGACAGTTACTGGAGGAAATTTCATATAAAGTCATTTTAGGTTTTGTAGCGACAGTCGATGGAATAAAGAAACAGCAGTTCAGACGAAGATAAAAAAACGGAATCAAGACACCTGCGATAGATCACAATCTGGATGTTGCTGGAGCAAAGAAATAGAAGATGATCTAGACAAAGACGTGATCCGTTCCCAGGCTCAAAACATTCCACAATAGTGAAAAATGTGTTCAGTTGGAACAGATTTATAGTGAAACAATCATTTATTAATCATCAAAGTGTCAGGTTTGTCAAAAATGCCATTTTTCCTCATAGATGGCAGGGAACAATTCAATATTATTTCCATTGGTATAATAACTATGGAGTCACCGCCACAAAATACCATCAGCAAAAATTTTGATAACGCTATCAAGCCATTGAATAATCACATATCAAATTGATGTGTTATATATCTCGGTGAAAATGTCCTTGAAAAAATTATAACAAACAAGATGAAAGATGTGACTTTCAAATGAACGATTAAGTCGAGAACGTAATAAAAGCCTAATTATACTCGTTAACGACGACGTCATTTTTATTTTTATTTAAATTGACTCATATGATAATAATCATAATATCAATAATGATCAACTTTATTATTTTCAAAAAATATGTAAAAAACAAGATTGAGGAAATACACCAACAGAAAATTTTTGAAAATAAAGGGCGAAGTTCAGTTCAGTTCCTGAATAAATTCAACAACTAAACTGTCCCACTTAACCCTAAAAAATACCTCTCTATTGAATTTTCTTCAATTAATACAAAAACAAAGGAAAAATATACAGATTTGTCCACACTACGGCAAGTAAGTTTACAGAATTAGGAGCAAAACGATGTGAAGTTCTAAAATCATATCACTGACGTGTATTGAAAAAATGGATAAATAGATTATACTTGAATTTTTGGAACCCAGCTGTACGTAATTCGAGGTCATTCATCACATGGCATATTTGATAACTGAAACACCTGCGGAAAAATTCAGTTGTAAAGGAAGGTGGAGTAAGTGTTCCCCTGAACCTGATATTGACGTTATGAATATCCGTTCGAAAAGACATTTTTCTATGAAGATAAGCAAGCTTTCTGGTGAGAATAATTTTATGAAATAGGTTGGTGGCATACATGGTTCTTCTGTTATTCATATTTAACCAATAGGCATCTTTGAGCTTATGAGAAATTCTCTGAGAACGTCTTATTCCATAAATAAGTCTCATGCAAAAATCATTTACATCTAGAGGGGGAAAACTATAATAAATTTGGGTGTCATCCGCATAAAAGTGCACTTTGCAGTGATTCAAATTTTTGATTGGAGGAGTCAAGAGCAAATAGGATCGACCCAAGTATAGAGCCTTGTGGCACTCCGCGTTGAAGAGATGAAAAAGCTCCATCAAACGTAACTCTTTGACTTCTTCCATTAAGATAATTGGCAAGCAAGGTGATAGCTGAAGTTGACAGACCAACGTAATGTAAAATTGATATCAATAAATCGTGGTTTATGGTATCAAAGGCTCTGCTGAAGTCAAGAAGTACTAGAGCTGTACAATGTCCTCTATCTGAAGCTCTGACAATGTCATCTACAACATGCAGCAATGCTGTAGTGCAACTGAATCCCTTCTGAAACCCAGACTGAACCGATGGTAAAAATGTTGAATTCTGCAATGTGCTTTAGAAATATGCTACTCAGTTATTCGGTCAACTATATTGAAAATAAAACTTCAATATTTTCCAGTGAGACAGATGACATACAAGACGCAATAAAAAATGGAGGCTTGAAATACGAACATGACTCGCACTCGACCCCCCACCGCAACCCGCAAGGGTTTTTCTGTGTCTCACACCTAGCTTCTTGACGAAGCCGATCAAGTTATATGGTAATTCATCTTTCAGGTCAGACGATAGAAGTGTGGTTCTGATTCTGGTTCTGAAAATCTGAATCGGTTTGCAGCGAGGCAGGCACAAAATATATGCTCTGCTGTTTCATCAATTTCCAAACACAAGCAACACACACTGTCTTCCCAAATAGTCCGAGTATCTGCATATGATGATTCAGATGACAGTGACCTGTTTGAAGGCCTGTTCATCCTTACTGTAGTCCAACAGCAGTTTGCTTTCTAGATTTGAAGGGTGACTGAACGCCATGGAGTATGCCAGTCCTGTAAGTCTTTGAATCTTCTTGTCATCCAGGTGTTCAAAGTCTGTTTGGCAAAACCTAAAACAATGCCAGTAGCAGGTTCTGGTCCGATGAAGCTACTTGCAGCACCCTCCTTTGCAAGGGAGTCAGTAGCCTCGTTGCCTTCCAGGCCAATGTGGCCAGGAATCCAGACCAGAGATAATTTGTTGAATCTACCTATTGAGGAAAGTCTTTTTTGTCAATTTGCTACCAACTTAGACGTTGCTCGGTAGGAGCCAAGAGCTTCCAACGCCACTTGAGTGTCCGAGGAAATTTTTGTTGACTTGTCTCTGGGCAGGTTGATATATCTTTCTTGCAACTGAAAACACCTTCAGCAGAGCCGGAAGGTATTTTCTATCCATCTGTGAACCAACAAGTATCTGCTCTAAAAATGTCTTTCCCCCGGAAGAGTCACATGTAAGTGGAAATGCTTTTCTGCACTATACTGGTGACTTCACCATTTCAGTACTTTGTCGTATCATTGAAGTTAAGTGTACACACTATCTTGAATCGAAATTCTTTTGACTTTCAGACTAATCACAACTGTAAACCATCCAGAATGAAATGAAATATAAACTGATTAAATTGTTTCAAATGAATTGACAAAAAGATAGTTAACGAATATAAAAAATAGGTAGTGTTTGAAATCAATCTCTGAAAATTGTCTGGTTTCTTTTCACTACATTTTATAATTTTCCTCTATTCATCAGAATCACTTTTGGGAATTTCATGTCCGACACCGTCATTATACATTTGTGAAAATATTCCTCGGTTAGAACTTTCAATTCCGTTAGCGTATAATCTCCTGATTTGTATATTAGGAAAGATAGCAGAGACCAGTGTATGGATATCCTACATTTCATGAATGATTTTTCAAAGTAAATCAACACAGAGAAAGGCTCTATGCGATATTCAAATGTCTACGGTGAAATATCTAGCGATAAATGATAGGTTTTCCTTGAATTTCGGAAAAAGCTCCATTTCACAAGCAGCTTCCATTGTCTACACAAAAATAATAACTTCCGACAGAAGACAAATACTTAAATTCAAAATGAAAATCAGTTGAAAGGTAACCTGGCAACTAAAAACCATCGTCTCATCGATCCAGGTTTACCGAACGTTTTTGGAGCTTCGAAGCCTAATTTTACAGTGAAGATATATTCGTGTAGGCCATACTCTTCAGGCAGTCCGAACCTTGCGGAAAAAATTACACAGGTGTACAAAATCAATCAGATTCAGGCTGTGCGTTTATTGGCAATGGTAGAAAAAGGAAATTTTCACATTACCTTTGGCAAACTGATGTACCCATTGCACCAAAAACCTGGATGAGATAATGCAAAAGGGTTTTCTGAGGTACGCTGCAGATTTGGCTTCGGTATAGCGAGATCCAGGGCCCCACCACAAGGTGGCGACACCATCATCCGTTCTCTAGCATCACTGAAGAAGTTGGACATCTGTTGCCTCCTCAGGGTGGAGTTGCGAGGACCTCTTTCATGTTGAACAGCTGAAACAAAAAATATAATTATCAAACTTATGACTGGGTGATGGGTCCGTTTGAACTCCTACTGCAACCCAGGATGGTTCAACAACAAAATTACTAGAGCAACATTTGGATCAGTTGCTTTTATATGGAGAGTAAGGCACGGGTAATTCTCTCGTTTGCACTTAGTTCTTCTACAGTGACGGTTTACAAAGGAAGAACCATGGCATATGGTAAAATCTTGATTATGCTAACGATATCAACGAATTATCTTTCATGATATCATAATAAGTTAAATAACATCTTGCAAATATTCAACGAAAGTATTGTTTTTGTGGAGGGAAATCAGATTTTTACGCAGTAACTTATCGGGGTAAACTAAAAAGTTTGCCCTTCTACACTTGTATAAAGTTCTCCATTATAATTTTTATATATTTTTCAGATTGTGGAAGGTAACAAATACCCAAGAAAGGTCGAAAAAATCTTGTAAATTTTATTCATCACGCTTCAAACTCCTTCTATTCAGATTAATATACTTCTTTTGACATAATGCCTGTTTTTTGTGTATATTTATTTCCTCAGAAGAGCAAGAAGTTGGCTCAATATTCGATCTTCGTCTCAATAGCATTTTTAGATTTTTGGGAAAGGTTTTGGATTTTCTACCGCTCCATATATATACTTAAAAAACTAATCTCTTCTGATGATATCACCCCTTTTCAATTTATTTGTATATTTATATTCGTGTATGATTTAATTATGCTTCACGTCTCCACGTCTGTTCATACAGTGCATTTCTTTAATGTGCCTCCCCTTTTTATTTTTTGAACGTGTCAACTCAAAAAATTGAAATTTGGGATAATGAAATTATTGCATGAATACTTTAATTCCAAGTGAAATTGACAGATGCAACTTTCAAGATGGCGACTGGGGTCGCCATCTTGAGGGTTGTCGTTCGTAGGGGTGCGACAGCTGGTTAACGGAAAAACAGATTTTAAACAGATTTCTTTCCGTCATTTTGTAGTAGGTTAAGATATTGACTTCTTATTCTATATCGTCATTATATTCAACTGAAAACTTGGAAATTCTGAATTTAAAAGTTATAAGTCGGAAAAATATAATCGCGAGTTGAAAGTTGGACTTTCAGGAACTATAGTTGCTTCTGTATATAAATGAAGTTTACTGAGAGTTAGCGCATCACATTCTTTGAAGTGAAACAATAAGATTAACAGCATTTAAATTATTTTGGTGATAGTTGTGAAAACAATAATTCTTCCACCTTGAATTTCATGTACAAGAGCTAGAGCCAGCATCCAAATTATCAATGATAAATTTGTTCAGGATCTTCAAAAACTCGAATCCAATAAAGTCGATTCCAGAATTTAAAATTAATTAATTTCAAATAGGTACTTAGGGCTCGAGATAAAATAATAATAATAATAAATGAATTTATTGACAGCTGAAATAACATGATACAATATGGAGAAAACAAAATACAAATTTGTCAATAGGATACAAGATTGAACAGAGTTAATTCTTCATCTTGCTCTTAATGAAATAATGTTCAAAATTCAATACCGCGGAGCAACTCTGACTCAAGTGGATGTCGACGATTCAAAGTTCGAAATAAATTCCCCGTTTTGATAAAATTCAAGAGAAATTAGTAATCCTACATTATTTCCATTCATACTTCTACTTAACGTTATCTTCTTAACATAAATATTTATGGAATGGAAAGATATAAAACGGTTGATAGAAAAAACACTCCTATACCTATTTCGATCTGTGTCTGATAGCACAATGAACTACTTTTCATAGGATGAATAACAGTGAGATGTGTAACAAACTGAAGACTCAAATAGCCAACAAAGTTCCCAGATTTCACACCAAGAGAGATTTTTTGTGGCATCTGAAGATTGTAAAGTATCAAACCTAGCAAACAATTCTGTATTTATGTTTCAGGATTGGTTAGGTTAGTTCTTTAAGTTATATTATGATATTCAAAATACCAAGGGTTGGGTACCTTCAGGTGAACTAACCCTTGGGATTTCTAAGTAGTAGCATAAGGCGAATAACATGTAACATTAAATTTTTTATTGCAAGAAAAGACATTATTATTAATATGATTATACATGACACTAGACTTCTCGATGCATAACTTTATATATTTGTGAATCACTGAAATAGTTTCTGAGACGTCGTATGATTTCTAAATTGAAATAAATTGTACTCGAACCTTCTTGAAATAACATTTAACGAATCCTAATTCTTAACCCTCCAAAACAACAAATAGGGTGATATTTCGGCAGCTATTCACGGTGGACTGCTGTGCAAATAAAATTACCAGCAACTACCGAGCACTTGAATACAAAACCCCAGAAGAAAAACAAATTTGTCACTACTGTCACACCTGGTGCCTTTAACTCGAGAGGTCCATTGAAGTAAAAGTTACTTTATGTGGAGGATGCTTTGTTTTTATTGCCAAAGAGAGTTTAAATTGTGCCACATAAACTAGCGTACAGAAGAGAGATTTTCGACAATTCTAAGAAAATCGTCGGATCGTCGGAAACACACTTTGAATGTTTCAAACTGAATTTCACGTAACTCTCCTTTTCGTAATAATGTCGATTTACTTCATTTTGTTCTTTTTTTCTTATCAAATTCAATGGAATGTTTAGGATCTTGAAAATGTTTTTCACACTTGACATATTTCAATGATAAGAATATTAAAGTCAGCGAATGATTCAGTATATTTTTTGAAGTTAAATAACGATATCAATGATTTTTGACTGTTCATAACAAGGTATGAAGTGGATGTACTAGCTCACCGTCTTATTGCATTCACCTCTCTTTCAAATGGAACTAAACCTTCAAAAGAAAGCTGTTGAAGTGTCATGATATTCTACTTTGGTTGTTTTCAAAACAATGGATCAAAAACAATTTCGTGTTTTGATTTCACATTGCTTGGTGGGAAAAAGTACCGTTCTAGCGAAGCAATGGCTCGAAAACTGTTATAAAGACTCCGCTCTATCAGAAACAATTAAACGTTGGTTTGCTGACTTCAAACATCGTAAAACATAAAAAAAGCCACAAAATCGGTTTAAATGATCGAAAAGTGAAGTTGCGAGAGACAGCTGACTTTGTAAAGATATCAAAAAAACGTGTTGGCCTTATATTACATGAGCATTCGACTATGAGAAAGCTCTATTCAAAGTGGGTGTCGCGCGACCTCACTGTTGACCAAAAACAAGAACGTCTTAATTATTCTGAGCAGTATTTGGCCATGTTAAAACATAACAAACTGGAATTTTTGCGTCGATATATGATAATAGATGAAACATGGATCCATCACTTCAATCTGGAATCAAAACGATCGTCATCTTGGTGGAGAACAACTGGTGAACCTTTATACATCTTACTTGTTGACTATGTCAGATGCTTGTTGTTTTGACAACAAAACTCTGAGTTAAATGATTTTTTCGTCTCATATGAATAAAGAGAATTTTGTCATATCGAAAACTTGCTGGTGTCACACATTTTTATATTGATTTGAAGAATATAGATACTGGACCAGCAATGGTAACTCGCTGGGCTATACATTTTCATCACGAAACGCCTCTCCAGAAATGTCTGGTGTTACATTTTGAGACCGAATACTCTTTTGAAGGTTCAATGCTGAGCGTTTCTTCCATAAAGTTCTCGAGATGGAATTGAAACTATTCATCTCAATGTGCAACAGGACTTGTAGTCCGCTGGATATAAAAAAAATCTTCTGTTCTATGTCCTCCAAGTTTACCAATTCAGTATTTCCTGATTTTATTTTTATGTGAATGGTGAAAAGATTTGTAAAGATAAAGATCAGCATTCTGTAACTCAGACGAGCAGACGGAAGTTTTTTTGAATTATTTGTGTTACGAAAATCATTTTCATACATGACAAACTATTCATACAACTAACTAGCAAGAGGTGCAAATTGTTACTGAATTGACATTGTATCATATTACTACTTTTCATGGCAAATAGCGAAAATTCAGTAAATTCAGCGTAAATTGAATTACAATCATACTCTGCATCTTAATATAAAAGAGTAATGAAGTGTTCAAACAAAAGTTTGTGATATCACGATTTGCTACAGCTGGTATATGCCGGTTTATAATACATTACCAGTACAATCCTATTTTTTAATCGCAAAAAGGTTGCAAACACTTGTATACAAGTGGTAAAAAACATAGTAACTATGCCTTATTTCTCATTTTTCAAAATGAAACGATCTCAAATCAATCACGTGGAATGGAATAATCAACGGAAGGAAAATTGACAGCAGAATCCTAAACTGAAATCAACACACCTGGCTAATACCTACGCCCTTATCGAATAATCAAGTAGGAGAAGTAATTCAAGATCATTACAATCCCTTACCGTCTTTGTTCATTCCTGCTTCCTGACATCTCGTCAATCTGCAAGCCCGACACTGATTCCTGTGGGTCTTGTCAACAATACAGGAGCCTTCTTCCTTGGCCTTGCAGACGTACTGCCGGTTTCTGCGGATTGATCTCTTGAAGAATCCAGCGCAACCATCACAGGCAAAGATGTTATAATGTTTGCCCGAGGAAAAATCACCACAAACTTTGCACGGTATATCCAGAATCCTGCCTGGAAATGAAAACATAATTTTAATCTTAGTCGGCATACGTTGCCATTGATTTTAGCAGGAGATTTCAATGATAAATTTTATCGTCCAAAGATGGTCAACTTTGTAGAAGATAAATTAGAACTACGGATGAATAATAACCGAAATGAGCCAACCATAAGACATATGGAACAACAATCGATGCAGTTTTCTCTAAATATCTTTCTAACTTTCCTACATATGTATCTATGCTTGGAAATTGAAATGATGCAATCTGAATATTTGACACTGAAATCAGGGATACCTCAGGGCTCCATCCTGGGCCCGTTGCCTTTTTCTATATACACTCTCAATTTGGTAAAATCTATGAAATTATGTAAGATTAACGTCCATGCAGATGACACCCAAATATATTACAGTTTTCCTTCCCCACTAGTGGATAATGCGTGTAAAACTATAAATCAAGAATTAGTGACCTTCATTGATTCAGCTTCTGATCACTGATTATTGATCAACTCTACTGAATCAAAACTAATGTTGTTTGGTTACGCATATAATCGTGCTAAAACGCAGCAAATCAACGTTAAAATCGAATTAAAAAAATAAATGAAGCTAAAAATTTAGGAGTCATATTAGACATAGATCTAAGATTCGAAAAACATATCAATGAGTTAATTCAACGTGTATATACCTCATTAAAATTGATTCATGGAAACCGGCAATTTTTTCCAAGAAGTGTTAAAATAAAATTATATGAAACACTAGTTTTGTCAAATTTTAATTATGCGAATTCGTTATATGGTCCAAATGTGACTACTGTTTACAGTAAAAAATTTCAGAAAGTACAAAACTCTTGTTTGAGATTAATATATGGCATCAAAAAGTTTCAAAGAACATCACACAGATGGCTTGAATCGGATCGTTGGATATGGAACTTAGAAGAATTCACCATGCAAATTCATTATATCATCAAATTATCCTAACAAAAACTCCTAAATATCTCTATTGAAAAAGCACATTTAGATTCGGAGGTTTAAAATGGAAACATTCAGACGTTCCTTTACATATCAAATTTATAAGTTGTGCAAATCCGTTCCTAAATCCTTGCAAAATCTCAGTATTACAAGTTTTAAGTCAATTTATAAAAATTTCCTACTTGAAAAATTAAAGTCAGTTTTATTATAACTTGCTCTCCTGTGTTCTCTTGCAACTTTAATATAGCTATTAATGAAACTTATGTATTCTATATATATTGTCTATACTCACTACCTCACTGAAGTAAGTTGTTTTAAAAACATTTTTTAATATAGATGTACTCTATATGGAAAATAATAAAGACGTATAATTTTTATATTTCCGATATTTTCCGATAATGAAAATAATAAATGAAAAAAACTATTCAAAATGTTAATTCATCAATTTAAATATTCGTAGAAAATAAAACATTTTCAACTTTTGTTGTGATATTTGACAGGACCGTCTTCAGCTCAAAAATCAGTGTGAGAATGAAAAATTGTTAAGGAATTGAGATAATAAATATAGTTGGTTTCCTTCGTTTGAAAAACATGCTACAAAAAGTGAGATCATACAGTATTTATTTGGAATACCTAATAGCTGGACCAAAATTCAGAAGAATTTCTCGATATGATACCTGAAAACTATCAATTCTTAACAAACCAGAATTTCGTCTGTGTTCAGAGCAAATATTTTTTTTACTAGGCTGTTTCAAAAAGGATTTTTTTCCAGTTTTCGTCTGAAAGTTACTTGGAAGTTTCCCACATTTTTTTGTATAAAAACGTGGGAAAGTAGAAAGCTCAAACCTTCCTTCCATAAGAAGGGAATCGGAAATAAATTCCCATGCAAGGACGAAATACTACCTAAACTTCCGGGAATTTAATCCTGGCAGGACTATTGATTACTTTACCTAAATTTGGTAAATATACGAAATACGGTCTTTTGTAGATATTAAATTTCAAATATTGAATTCCATTCCTGGTTTTACTTGATGTCATGATTTTTGTAACAATTGATTCAAAAATAGGAATTTTGAAAGGATAACTTTTGAATTACGATATATGTCATTCACTTTGGAAATATATATTCAATAGCAACAATTTATGCTCGAGAAAGCTATTGTATAGCGAAACACGTGTCGCGGTTTTTGTAAAACCCTTTATAGTGAAAATCATACAATAAAATGTATTAATTAGTTTTAATAGCAACATGTCAATATCATAATATATGATGAGAAATAGAATATTCTATAGGTTTTCCTATGAATAATATTGAAATAAAAATATTCGCAACCACATGAATTTAAAGAAGCTATGAAGATTTTCCCACTTGTTAAAAAATACTAATTGCACATTGGAACAGCAACAAGAATATTGAATTTTGGACAATCCTCTTCAAATCATGATCATTTTTATGATTCAAGACTTACTGGACGATGATGGAGATTGTGGCTTGAGCACCATTTGATGGTCCATAGCCATATGCTGCTCCATCTGCATGGGTTGATCCAAATGCATCATTTTCACACACTGTTATTCTCGACTAAAGCACCGAAACTCACTAACACGAAAACTGAACTTATTAACCTGGCAATCAGCGACTGTTTGAACTTGTTTCAGATCCTCCACGACTTTTAAACTTCGAAAAATCGTCCTGCAACCTGTCAGAGGTTCAATGTTTTGACTTAGTCAGAACTCTTCGCTGCTATTGGCTGTAGCAACCCCCGTCAAACGGAGGGTCCTTTCGGCACGCCCTTTGCAATAGAATTTCCTTCTACCCTCGGTAGGAGGGACCAAGGCTGTCGACAGGATTGGCAATTTCATGTTGGGTTTATTCCACTCTGATGTGTTTCACACCAACAGATAATAGATTTAATGAAATCAATTAATAACCTAACGAAGGTAACGAAATTTGGCCAAGAAGTCGCATTTAGATCTCTTAGATTGCATGTTCTCGGGAAGGCATTGATTGATAATTCATCAAATAACTTGGATTTTGTATCATGCATTTAGTTTTAAAGAGCAATTCAAAAGAATTAATGTGATAAAGATAATTTTGGGATAAATGTCTATCTACCTATCCGTCCGTATGCATAAATAAAGATAATTAAGTTCAAAAATTAGCTTCTTATGAAGACTTACGACTTCAAACTTAAGATTCCGATTTCAATATGAAAATTTCGACTTGGAACTGGAAATTTCGACATTTTGAGGTTAAGGTCGAAATTTTTATGGAATTTTGGTGGAATTTCCAAGAAACAAATAATAAAAATATGTGCCCCTTTTGCAATTTTGTAAAAAATAGATGTCTGTTCGAAATGTTTATTTGTGATGCAAATTAAGTGCCGAATAGTGTTTTAACCGAATACAGCTTTTAAACCGAACACTATTCGATTTAACCTTTACCGAATCCGATATTTGGCCAAATTATTCAGTTCAAATATTGATCTGAGGTAAAAAAATGAATTTTGATATAGGCTTTGAAAATAAATGTGAATTTGGTTGAGGTTTGACAAAAATGTTGATTGAAGTTCAAAAATGAATGTTGGTTCAATTGAAGTTTGAAAATAAATAATGTTTTGATTCAAGGTCCAGAAATGAAAGTTGATTTGAAGTTTAATTGCTTTATTTTATCAGATTCATTAAAAATATTTTCCATAGTATTTCTTTGACTTATAATATAACATTAATCTCACATAAGAAGTTTTGTCCTTCAGTTTAAAAAAAAAATGAAATATTCGGCAACAAAACCGAATAACGAATTCCAAACGAATATTCGGCGAAGTCCTATATTAAACATGCATCTCAAACAAGAATATTGAAATTTCAAAATCTATTTTTTCGCTGTTGTATGGGATTTTGGCCAAACAGCGAGTCGGAAAGAATTTTCTGATAAATGATTGGAATTCAAGATGATTACACCGTTGTATTTTGGTCATTTTTGAAAGCAGAGATTTAATTTTTGGTACAGGCGTAGACCTTCAAATCGATATTGACCCTACAAACCGATTTTCAATCCAAAATTCGAAGTTAGAATTTTTCTCTAATTTTCATATTCCGATTCCAAAGTCCAATTTTCAATTAATGGTCCCGAATTAGAAGTCTTTCTAGCCTGTTAATTTTGAGGATTTTTTTCAATTTCCTGTTGAATATGATTGGTCGCGAACTTGCCTACTTTCGGATGGAAAATCATCGTTCTCAATGTTTCAAAGCAGACTCATATTTTTGTTTCAACAGTTTTCAATATATGCTATAGTGTCATGGACATAAATGAACTATTTACACCCCAAATGTCGGTTTGAATGCCTCAAAAACACTAACAAAATGCCCAATTTACGAGAAAAAATCGAAATAATAGTGGCAGAAGTGGCAGAAAAGTTGCTCAAGAATTCAACAAAAGACATCCGAAACGAAATCGTATTCGAAATGGCACAGTCACCGCTCTTTGAGAGCCTTAAGGATTTTTCTGTAGTGCTTGTGTTTTGTTCTTAAAAAAATTGGACCGGCAGCCTCCGTGAATAAACATTTTACTCAAAACGTTGAAAAGTGTCCAGCTATTGACAATTCAACTTGAAATCGAAAATATCATGATGATGATAATGTCTCAGCTTCATCACTGCTTTTGGGCCAAGGATTTTTTTAAATAATAGAAATTTCCTGAGAAAATGGAATAGTATCCGCTCAAAATTGCTACTGAAAATCCCCACTCGGTTATAAACTGTAAGGATCAACACTCTCAAGAAGTTAATGAATGGTGTGGTATTTTCGGCGATAGATTAATTTGTTAATTTTCCTTCAGTATTACTATTAATACCAAACGACTATTGATTTTTTTGATAAACAATTATGTGTGCAACACGAGATGTTCTCTCAGTTAGGTGAGTTTCCTTTCATAATTTTTAGATGGTTCGAGAGCGGTTGAACGAATATTTTCCATTACGTTGGACTGGTAGAAATAACCCATAAGAACAATAGCCTTCTGGCTCTCCTGACATAACTCCAATGGATTTTCTGTTCTGGGGAACTGTCAAAAATAGGATTCACAAGTCTAGGCCACGAAAATAAAAACTTTGTGAGAGAACTCTGAAGAGTGGCCAATAATACTAGAAAATAATGAAGAATGTATCAGAATTGTGGGCGAGCCAGTTGAGAGAGACAATATTTGGACTTGACTTCTAACATTGGTGTTTATTTCTTTTCCTGTTGAATTCGCTTCATCAATTGTCATTTAATTTCGACCGATGTCTGTGTGGCTTTTTAGTTATTAACATTCAAAATTAGAATTTTTTTATAATGACTGAGGTTTTTTATTCTTATCAAGGACTCATTATTTCACAATGGTGTGAAGATGTATAATCATCTTGATAGCCATATTGATTACTAAAGTCAACAAGATTTTTCTTCGAACAATAAAGTATATAAATCAGTCATTCAATTATCCCTTCATTATAACGAATTTATTATTTTCATAGTTGCTTATTTAGGACCATTAATTCAAAATCGGATTTGACCATAAAAATTACAAAAGAAAAATCAAATTTCGAATGAAAGTCTATGCCCGTAGCAAAAATCAATTATCTGCTTTCAAAAATTACTAAAATTTAGAGTTGTCTTCATCTTGTATAAATATAAAACAAAGTTGTGAAAATCAAGTTTATATATATGCTTAAAACTCATCTAAAAACTATCATTATTTGCAAATTTCATGGAAATGAATAAAACCTCACTTTGAAAGGGTTTTAAATAGTTTGATACTATTAATAATGAAAAATAGGGTTATTTTTGATCCTTGAAGTGAAATTTCCAAAAGTTTAGTAGAGAAAACTTGTGTGTCAAACTTATAGTTTTGAGGAAGGGCCTTATGAAATCCAATTTCATTACACATTACAAAAAAAAGGTGATACTCAACTCACGTTCAACTGTCTAAAAATTGTTTTCTACTCAGTGTGTAGGTGAATATGTTTCAAAATATTTATCAAAACTATTGTATTTATCAAGATAATTGTTTTATCAGTTGTCAGATAAAATATTTAACCTTTCTCGTCATGGCAAATATCTCCGTTTTTGTGTTCAATAATGAGAATAATTTGAGATTGCTTCAAAAAGTGGAAATTTGGAATTTGGAAAAGATTCTTGGTCTCATAATTTTACCCAATGAGAAAAAATTTCGAGTAGTTGAGTAAAAAACCTATTGCTATCTTTTCTTTTTTCGTAATCAAGTAACATTTTATTTCCATTGATCCATTTTTAGATTTTCCTTCAAAACAATAACTGGTAATTCACTTCAAATTTGTATAGAGTTTGGTACATCTCTATATGTTTTTGATGCTATAAAAACACATAAAATGTGTTGCAAACTCTGGAAAGAGTCAAAGGACAGGTCAGTATTCAATAAATTTCGTTGGAGAAGTGTTTTTATACTGAGAAATTTTGCCTCTGACAAGATTAGGAAAGGATTTGTCAGGTACACGTTCACAGACAAAACTCTCTGAAATAGTTTGTACTGAACTGAGTTTAAAATCATAATTCAATAGTCCAGTCGATAAAAATGTTGTAGACAGCATGAAATATCAGATAGTTTTGACTTCAGGGCTTCATCAGGACCGGACCAGAACAATCCCTCAATGCGCTTTACGCTCACCAAGTTGACAGATTTGAATGATTCAAACTTTTCTGTCAATAGCGCTGATTTGGATAGGGAAACACAATATTATCTTGGTGTGAGAATAGTGTTTTCAACAGATATACTTTTATGACGTTTTTTGAAAAAACGGTTTTGGCTTTCTTTTTTTTTATCTGTATACAAAAAAGGGGAATCTTCCAAATAAACTGAAAATATTAATTAGATTGGTGCTAAAGACGCATTGAGATAACTGTCTCATTTCGAAACATTAGATGTCCGCCATTGAGAATGTGGGTGTTTCATGTAAGTGACAATTCACATCTTTCTCATACCATATTGTGTAGCAATCCTGTGGATAATATCTGATTCAATTCCATATCGAAAATTTGGACTACAAACTGAATAGAATTTTTTTGAAATTTGATTTGCATTGAATAGTAGTTGTTTCTAGAGGTCTATGCATGATCTGCATATCTTTATAAAGTTACTTTCTCCCTTCTTTGTGAAAATTTCCCCATTTTTTTGTACAAAGATGGAGAAGTAGAAAGTCAAAAATCTTTCTTTACCAAAAATTAATCTCTTTCAGCAATATGTCCAATATACCCCATTTGGAAGTATAAAAATTACTGAAGTAAATTAAATTTTGTTCTATAGTGTGGCCCAAATGAAATGAAAGCATCCCCATGAAACATATATTTTAAACCGTTTGCAATAATTTCTTAAAATCGGTAGATATTGTACAAGTTGGAATATCAACTGTCTTCAGGGCCATCTATTATCACTTTTCAATGTCAGAAATCGACAAACATTATTGTTTCTTGAACTATGACAACGCCACAGCGTTTATGTAGTTTTTGAATGATTTAACGCAAAATCACTTCGGAAAATCCATAAGATAAGGTAAAGTTTGATGAATGTACCATTTAATTATCCCACCAATTTAATTTCAGAACTGTCATCACAATTCTGAGTGCTTCACCAGATTTATCAGATTTTGGTTCACCACACATTCAACCAATTCCATCGAAATTTGTTCATTTTTGAAAAAGTATGTGAATATTGAATAATATTATAACATGGTATCAATTCTCTCATATTTTTTTTTCATGACG